GGCACAGCTCGCAGGTACCACCTGGCACCAGGCACCTGCTCAGCACAGCTGCTTACCGGCACAGCTCGCAGGCTGGACCCCTGAGCTGGCGCCAGACACACCTGTGTACTCCTGCCTGTGCACACTTTGCTACTTCCTCATGGTGCGTATTTTCTTACCTTGTCTCAAAATAATATCAGAAGAAATTAGGGCACCGGCACTCTAGGTTGAAGGAAAGGGTTTTACATTTGTAAGTACATAAGCTATAAAACTTAGGAAATTTCCTTAGCTGTGAGTCATACTCCGGTTCTTCAGATATTTGTCTCTCAAAACTGAGACACGGGAATGACCTACTTGTATAACTCCAGAATTAGTTGAGGCGTACTTAGGTTGGTATCTTCCTGAAGGTAGCTTTCCTTTTGGCCTCGACGCTAGACCTTTTATGTTTTATAGTGTTTCCTGTGGCTCAGTGGCTGACCACTTGCCTAGCATGTCAGGGCTCTGGATGTGTTCCTTAGCACCATTAACAACAAAACAAAACAGAACGGGGTGGGGTATTTGCATAGCATGTGCCTGCGTTGCTCTGGGCTTTCTTAGGTTTCATTATTAGATTGTCCTCTTCAGGGTAGTCGGCTGGCCTATTCTGCTTGACTTTTTAGTGTCGTTTTCTTTCCTCCTCCTTTCTTTTTTCCTTTCCAAGTCTGTTTCATGCCATGCCCCCATGGGGGAAGACATTATTCAGCATGTTGGTGACACCCATCCGTGATCCATGGCAACTCAGGCAGGGATTTGGGCCTGGGGAAGCGTTGGTGGCCGTGGTAGAGCGCTTACCTTGCTAGTGGAAGGGCGTGTAGTGGTACCTCACTGTGTGCACCAGCTTTCTGATGGGGCGTCTCTGAAGCTGTGGTGGGGACAGTGAGGGGATGATGGGGCAGGAGGGCTGGTAGGCTGAGGGATCAAAGAGGACTGCTCTGGGGAGCGCAGAACACAGAGGACGAGAAGGAATGAGATCTTGCAAAACCTAAACTGTGTCCCACGTGGGGGTCACAGGAAGGTCCTGAGGGGGGACCTACTAAAGAGCAGCTAGTGTTTGTGCTGATATTTGAATTGTAGTTTTAATTTGCTTCTACCTAACACGATTTGAATATCTTTTTTTTGACAGTTTTTTTTTCACAGCTGATTAATAGGACAATTTTGATAATCAATACACTGTACATTGTTATCTTCTTAGTGGTTATCCATGGTATAAGAAACAGACAGGATATTCTGTCCAAACACTGTTAGTACACCTCTTTCTTCTCATTGAATTAAGTGAAAGTAGCTGTAAATTTATCCTATTTTGTATATATAAATACAAAATGATCTTTCCTTTGTATCCTTTTTTTTT